TCCCACTGGTGTCAGTGGGGCTCCCGTGGCTCAGTCCTGGCACCTTGGTGAGCCAATGGGCACAGGGTGTTACTAGTCCCCCACTGCCCTGTCCTTCCCCCTGTCCCCTGGGTCTCCCCTCACCTGCAAAGAGGGACCCTTTGCCCTCAGGGCTGTCAGACCCCACGGAGGGGCTGCTGGCCCCTCGGGAGTAGGTGGAGCTCCTGGCCCCCGTGCCAGAGTCGCCCAGCTCCAGCTCTGGGCCGGCTGGGGGCTCCTTCATGGCCAGGGTGGTGGATGGCTCCTGCCGGGCACTGGGGCTGGGCTCCTGGCTTCTCTGCTTCCTGTAAAGGAAGCCTCAGAGCCACCTTGCCCGGCTCCCGCCCTCTCCTGGGTCCCTCGGACATAGCATCACCCTGGGCCACCTCCATTTGGGACCAGAAGGTGCCTCAGGGTCTGCTAAGGAAGCTGGTGTTTTCCTCTTCCTCCAGCAGTTCAGGGAGCTCCTTCGGTTTGCCAGGCCACAAGCCTCTTCCCCACCCATGGGGACAGAGGGGCCGCTCTCCTCCCGGGCAAGCCGGACGCTGCTCCCTGCTGGCTCCGGAGCCACCTCCCCAGCCTTCCGCGTCAGCATCTGCTTCAGCCGCTTCATTCTGGAACCGAGTGGGGAGCAGCCGTGAGTCTGGGCTCAAGGCAGCCTCTCATTAACGGGCCTGCCTGCTCCCCTGCCCACCTCCCCTCCGCTGAGGCAACTCCCCCACACCGCACACCCCACCCCAGGACATGGGGCTGCCATCCACACACAGTGGCAGCAACTCACAGCACAGGCAGCTCCCAATGTTCCCCCTCACCAATGGGGCCCTGTGATACTGGGAGAGTCTTGTCCTTTCAGAGCAATGGGGCTCTCCGTTAGTTTGGACAAGCAGCTCCCTCCACCCCAGTAGGCCCCGCTCCCTCCCAGGCCAGAGAAAGAGCAGAACCCGGAGAGTCCCCAACGAAAGTTCGTTCACAAGGTGCCAATCCTAGGAGGCAGGAGTCGCCCTCAGTTCCCACTGATTTCACTGATTGCAGTTGTGGGTGTTCAGCACCTGGCAGGTTCTGCCCTTCCCAAAGACTCTCAATGTGGGGAACAATCTCCTGCAAGGGAAGGGCTGGGAGCCCT